TGTGCGGCTTGGCGTCGCTTTATGGTGGTCTGTGCGGCTTGGCGTCGCTTTATGGTGGTCAGCGCGGCTTGGCGTCGCTTTATGGTGGTCAGCGTGCCCAAGTGTTGCTTTATGACAACTGATGCCCCTTGCTGTCATGGACCCACCTGCTGTGGTTCGAAAATGGCCTCTCTCCTTCTCCCTCCCTCCAACCTAGATCCTAATGGAAGTAGTAAAATTACTATGTGTCTGGAAAGTTAACACAGATCACTGTCCAAAGGCAGTTAATAAAATATAAGGGTCGCAATAAAGATGATTACTAGGTGAGATTTAACTGACACCTGTGGTTGTACTATAAACCCCTAGACCCACATGCTGAGGCCAGAAAGAGCCCCACCCCTGCCCCCCGTCTCCAACAGCCTACACTCTCGTCAGGAAATCTGTCCCCGTAAAGCCTTTAATTTGTCTTTGTGATCGGGGGAACGTGCCAGCCACATTTCTGAAAAATGTAATTATTATTGTAATATATTTTAAACCTGCAGCTGGCGCCGAGATGCAGCTGAAAGGCTGTTAAAACTGGAGGGCAGATACAATCCACGCATTACTTTGCCCACCTGATTATTCTCCGCGTATCGCTGGGTAATAAAAAGCAATCCCATTTCTGCACGCTGCCACAGATAAGTGGAATAAATCTCGGCGGAGTGCATCTTGGGGGCCGTCCCACCGCCCACGGGGCTGGGCGATTCGCACGCCCGCTCTTCCAAGATGAATATGCTTAATCTCGTATCGACACGCAGAAGGTCGTCCTCTTTGTTTTTTAACTCCCCCCCCCCCACCCGAATGGCAAACGCAGATTCATCCTGGCGGGCGACGTGGACGCTGAGGACACTCCCTACGAGGACTTCCTCTCGCCAGCTGAGGAGCTCCGCAAGAAGAAGGAGGGGGAGGCCAAGAGGAGACAGGAGCTCCTGAAGAAGGTGGACTTCAGCAGGTAAGCGCCGGTGCGACCTTGGATGCCCTCGCTCCCTGCGGGGGCCAGACGCTCGTGTGCATGGGGGTCCACTGCTTCCCCTCATCCTCTGATAGGGTTTATGCCGATTCTGTACGTCTATCCATCTGTCTGTCATCCAACATATCTCACTCCTGTGCACGCTATGGAAGACCCGCCCTGCATTATTCCCAGGCCTGTGACAAAATTACTTCAACCAGGCTCTCTCCTCCGCCGCCCCCCAAGCCCCGTTGTCCTCCTGAGAAGGTGGGCCTGCGATATGGGCAATTTAGACCGAAACTTACCTAACCGTGTGTCTTTGGACTGCGGGAGGAAACCTGCATAACATGCGGAGACAAGCAAACTCTACACTGCCAGCTAGGGGCAGGATTCGAACCCGCAGCGCAGGAGGTTTGGGGCCACTGACCCAGCGTACCGCCTGCCAATGTTCATTATAAGACCAATTAATGCTACTAGTATAGAAGAAGACCAAAAATACACTGGAGAGGGGGATCTTGGTCTGACTCTGTCCTGCTGTGTCAGTGTACAGCTTGCCCAGAGTGCAAAGTGCATTGTTTTGCTACATTAAGCCATAGTAGTAAACGACTAGTCGGCATATTAAACAGAAACAAAAGGAGCCGTGTCTGTAGATTAGCCTTGAATCTGTTGGAAGTAATTTATGCTGTCGATGGCCGGCACCAGGGAGGTGCTAATGAAGGGCCCGCCGTGCTAGGAAGTGACGAGGGCTCCCTGTGGACTGCATCCCTACGCCCTGTCAGCCGTGTCACCTGCCCTGACCGACGCAGCATTCCCATGGCAGCCCTGCTTTATTCCTGCCCCACGTCATTAGGCACTGGTTTAATGCCTTATTGACGCGCTGCGGCTAGCTGACTGACGCGTGGGGGTTTACCAAAGCATCTCCGACGATGAGGGAGGACGTGCCCCCCCCCCCCGCTACTGTAGAACTTAAGGAATGGGCCCCAATCGAGCTGCGCTGTGTGTTCCAGCCATGACCTGTATTGAGACTGAAGTTATTTTAAGCCTAATGATGCACGATCAGCCGAGAGCTAAGCTCGTCAAGCACGTAAGTGGACCCCGGTGGCATTCCCGTAATGGCGCTGTGGGGGTCGCGTCTCAGGGATCCACCAAGGTTAAGCCGTGTCACCGGGTTGCCTTTTTCTGGGTGGCCGTACATCACTAGAGGGACTGTCTTTGGTGGGATTGGTGGACCGTGCAGGCACCAATCACCAGAGGGACTGTCTTTGGCGGGATTGGTGGACCGTGCAGGCACCAATCACCAGAGACAGTGTCTTTGGCGGGTTTGGTGAACCGTGCAGGCACCAATCACCAGAGACAGTGTCTTTGGCGGGTTTGGTGAACCGTGCAGGCACCAATCACCAGAGGGACTGTTTTTGGTCGGGATTGGTGGACCGTGCAGGCACCAATCATCAGAGACAGTGTCTTTAGCGGGATTGGTGGACCGTGCAGGCACTAATCACCAGAGACAGTGTCTTTGGTGGGTTTGGAACAATGAATACCTGGTACAGCTGGGAGGGAGCAAAAATGTGGACTGTCTGGGGGTCCTCGAGGACTGGATTGAGAAATGCTGCTCTGGGTGATGGAGGTGCCCGCGCAGGTTTTCAATGCCCTTCTTATGGAATCGAATGGAGGGTATTTGACATGGCAGCTATGGGGAAGGTGGTCAGAGGGGGTTGTCCCATTCTGTGCAGCTCACTGACCTTATGGGGCCATTGATGTTCAGCCTTGCTGCTGCTGTCCTCATCCTTCTCATTTTCACTGTCTGGCGACCGTGTGTAACAATAAGCTTCTCAAGATCCCACATCTTCATTTGTCGCGTCCTCCCCCGTCTCTGCTGGAAGCAGATGGTAGGCTGTCTTCCTGATGTATAGGGCCAATCGCGACTGTCAATGGCTCTGACTGGTGTCAGAGGGACCTTTTCAAGAGGGAGTTGTGGGCTTGGCTGCTTCTATGATGATGATGGTGATGATATTTCCCCCCTCCTCAGCCATTTCCAAGGTCCCTGGCTGTCAAGTAGGAAATTAAAAATGCCCCCCAGAGCTGCAAAGACCGCAGTGGCCTTGATTGACCTTATTAAACTTGCTGTACTGCCACTGTCATCAAACACCGATGTAATTAGCTTCATTGTTTTATCTTCTTCGTCTTGCCGAAGGCCTTTGCTTAATTTTGGCTGCAGGACCCTTTTCTCTGTTTAATGTGATGAAGATGGAGGAGCCACTTATTGGCAGGGGCACTAATTCTGCTGAGGGAGGATCCTGTGTTGGATCTGTGGGTCCGTTTGCACACGGCCCATGGGTCGAGCGGGCTTCCGCCGTCTCCAAGGAGACACCCAGCACTCCCTCGCTCTGGCACTCTTAAGTTGCCGTGAGTGACCGTGACCCCCCCCCCGGGCATCTCTAATTTGAGAGGATGCTGGTGCTGAGGGTCCCCAATGTTCATTTTCTTTACCAAATCGAGAGGCTTCACCGTGTCACGAGTGCCATCACTATGTTATGAGTGGCGTCCGCTGTGGGGCAGGTCTTAGGGCCAGAGCCCAGCAGACTTATTTACAAATGTTCCTTCATCAGTTGCCTCAATTTTCAAAAATCAAAGTAGATTTGTTTGGTTATAAGATAAAAACACTGACCAGCCGCTGCACGTTAGCCATTGCACACGTGCAGTTAGCTCACTGTCGTTTCGAAGTAGATGGGCACGCAGGATTATAAATGCCAGTTTGTGTCCTTTTTCGCAGGTTGACACTGGAGCAGAAGGAGCTCTGCAGGAACCGGCTGAAGCTCTTGTCTTACCTGGATCGCCTAGCAACCTACGAGGTAATGACAGGAGTCGCTGCGTTAAACGATCGTTTGCGGGAAGCGTTTTTAACACCGGTCGCATGTGCCCTCACCTGTTACTGGAACTGTGTGCTTGGTGAGCATCCAGTTGAATGCACTCCGGTGAATCGGGTAATTATGGGATAGCTGTTGATTGCGATCAAAGTGTTCGTTGTGAAGCATTAAGACAGAGAGCCAGGGACAAGAGACCCAGCCACAGCAACAAGCTGTCCCCGGACCGCTCACACCCTCCAGATTGGAATGCAGTACATCAGCACACAACGATGGATGCTTTATATCAGAATGAGAAGGGGGGGGAACAGATG